GGTTAATCCCCATATCTATTTGGCATCCTGTGTGAGTCATGTGTTAGGCCAGGTCTTTTTTATCTTTTATGCCAGACTGATCTGGAGAGAGAGCCTAAAATTCCCGAAAGGATGACATTACTGAGGAAAGTGTTAGTTTCTTTTTATATATTGTTCCATTATCCGACTACCTCACTAATTCGTCCATTTTTTTAGAGCCAAATAGATGCTTTCTTTTATCCTACTTCCTAATATTCTCATGTAATTGTCAAATACTCATAATGCTGATTTTTTCAATCTTTATACATCCTGATCCCGGTGGTCAACAAATGCAATAGGGGCCGTTACTTCTACGTTAATCCAAATGACTTTTTTTAATCTGTATTTTCCTATGCTCACCTCTATCGGATTATGCTTCCTGGGACTAACTGGGTCTAACTTCCCTTTCTAATTCCATTGTAAATTTAGGCATTTCAACTAATCTATTTTTTATGTATACTCTGCTTGCCGTATTGCCAAAGTATAAATTATTTATTCATTCACTTAACCAATAATTTAGGGACAAGAAGTACTTATTGAATTAGACCCATATAGTTATTTCATAGAGTTAGGACATGTATCATCCAATAGCTGAACTCGTTTTTGTTCGTACACTACCACTAAAAGTAGAACATGTGCACACAACACTATATTCTGCCTAAAATAGGTAAAGAATGAGGCTGAACAGAATCATGGAAACTAATAAGGGTTGTGTATTGCATAAGGCACCATGATTTAATTGTCAACAATTAAAGCAAATTTCGACACTTGACAGTTTCGAATAAAGAATTTCTAGATTTCGATATTATTATATTCTTATTCGTGTTATCATTAAATACGTTGATAGATTTGTGTTGAAAGAAGTGTATTTGGCAGGTTTCAAGTGGACATTCATTCGTGGGCAGGTGCACGCAGTTTATCACACTGTTGTATCTTCACTTTTATATCTGACAGCTGATCAGTTCAACTCTACGATCCAAATTGAGTACATTCACGAACCTTCATCAATGGGGCTGCCTTGACGCTGCAAAATTGTATATTTTAAGAACTACTGCAGAAGCATCATCTCACTATTATTGGCTATGCATTCCCTGTTTTTATTTATAATGTTATTGTTCGTGAAAGATTAAGAACGATGGGACAAACTTGATTCTCCGGATGCTTGACCTTTCTGAAGGGTTTTATCCATACTAGCATCGTCTAATCAGATTGGTTGTAAACTGGTCATGCAGCCTATGGCTGGCCTGAAGGTCACAATCGAGATTTATGGATAATTGGTCCAATAGCGTGTCTTGCCAATCGACATCCTTTCAGAGAAACACATGGTTTTAGGCGTTGCTTGATATTTGTTTCTAAATGTCAATTCTATACTCGCTTCCACCATGTGACTTGACATTGCTCTATGTTGTATGTCATGTCGAAAAAACTCATTGCGGCATTCATTTGACTATTAATCAAAAGCTCACATCATCCTGGCCAGAAAATCCAGCATCATATATTCTGACTTATTCTAAATTGAATGAATAGATGAATGCATCGCTGCCCGTTACGAGATCAATTGAAGATGCTTCCAGTAATGGAAGTCAACGCCAATGATTGTCGGCTTCTACTTTTCCTCAGTAACTTTAACTTTGTTTGATAATGTGTGGAATGAAGATATTATTGTTGAGACTTTCATTTCGTATCAAAGTGTATGAAGAAGAGATTCGAAGGTCGATCTCACCAGAAGAGGTCGTTGAATCTCGTTGTAATCCAGCCGTTTCGGTTCGTTGATAGTTCTAACTTTACTCACACTCGACCAACATGTTAGATTAAACGAAGTGGGTTGACCTCGTTATCGCAACTTTGTCTTGTGTTCAGGGAGACTATGTAGAACGCACCGTAGTCGGCATCATCAGTGACAGTATGAACAGGGTTCGTGTTCGATGTGGTCGTTGGTGTGCTAACTTCTTTAGACTCTGCCTTCCCCCGGCCGCCACACGGTACGTTCACAATCCTTTCATCTTGTTCTTCTCCATTCCCATGGCAACCTCCCGGATTTACATGATAGTTCTCAGGCCGTTTGCTCGTTTTCATACTAATACTTCCGATTGTCCCACTTCTGATTGCAGTTCAGAACGGATAACAGGTTAGGCCGACATTCAAGTGCAAAACTTATGCTTACCAGCTTCTTTATTTTCGTTGAAATTGCATGCTAGCCGCATATATTGGAAATGCAGGCGCCAAGCTTACCGTAGACGGGAAAATAGATTTTGCTAATGTTAACGTTGATGGTGTGGGATTTTTGTCCTTTTATCCCCTTCACATACCATCTTCCCTATTTGCTGTCGGTTTTCACTCCATCTGTACATGCATACACACACACATGCATGCATAGATACATGTAACTGCACGCGCGCAAGCATCGGCACATTCGTGTGGCCGTTTATAGATGCATATCTGAGTGTGTTTTCGTGTGTTTTCATGTGTTTGTTCTTATATTGTGCTTATGCATCCTGCGATTGATGAGGTACGTGAACAGTTGTCTTGTCGGTCAAGTGTGGACCGGGACAGAGTTTTTGGTAAGAGCTTATTGAATAAATTCCACTTAAGTTTGGTGTTGAAATGGACGAGCTCTAGTTCTCGCCCCACATCAATCCCACCCTAAGGCAAATGAGTTGCTTAGGCACAGCCAACGGTAGATGGGTG